GAGGCTTTGACCTCCCCTTCCCCAATGGAGCTGGGCTGGATGAGAAGCCGCTCTGGGCTGACCCCACTGGGCCACACCCCAGTGCGCACTGCACTCTGGAACTAGCAAGCCTGTCTTTTCTTGCCCGGGAACAAAATGCATGACAGAAGGACTCTCTTCTCCAACCCCTGCTGATTCCAAGGGTCTTGGGGCCTTTCTTTTTCTCCAGCATATCAAGTATTATGAGGCAGGAAAGTGGGAGCGGAGATAAAGTTTACTTGAAAGTGAGAGTTTGGCACAGGGAAGGTGCCAATGGCCTCTGGGCTCCTGGTGGGTTGGTGTAGACCCCATCCAGCTGGGGGGTGGGGTGAGGGGGAGGGCCGCCTCAGGTCAAGGAGGCCCTGTCAGCCACCTGCTTTCTCAGGGAGGAGGAGGAGGAGGAAGAGGAGGGGCAAGGGGACCGCAGTCTTCTCAGGACAAGAAAGTGAGAAGTGGACCATCCATGCAGGGTCCTCCATGTATGTCCCCTGGGGTGGGTCTCTGCTGCTCTGGCATCTGGGAGGATCACTGTCCACTTCTCCCCAAGGGGAAGGGGTGCCCGTCCCGCACACCACAGGCCAAGCCGTCAGCAGTGTTGTCTCAATCAGGGAGACATCTCTGTCTCCAGGGTCTTCGGGAAGAAGAAGAAGAGGCATTGTCTCTCCAGGGCTTCTGTCTCCCGTCTGCCTCCATCTCTTTCTTTCTGCCTTTCCCTTGCTATCTTGAATGAGGGGGCATCTGATGGACCCCACCTTTTGTCTACAAGAATGCATCTGTGTCCTGATGATACAAATGTAATCCACAGACCAACCCCGCTGTCTCTGGGCTCTACTGGTAGAACAGCACTGGTGGAGGGGAGAGATTGAGGTTTGGGTGTTGGGAGCAGCCAGAGCCACTGCCCCCCGTCCTTCTGGAGTCCCCACTGTGCCTGCCAGGGGTACCCCCCCCCGTGTCGGTGGGGGGGTGGTGCTGGGCCTTCTTCCCTTTGCTTTACTGATAAGCTTCCTTGGTCTCTACCTCCATGTGTCCCGAAGGTGGTTTTTGCGCAGCGCTATGAAGTTGGTACCCAAGGGTGAGGCAGAGGCCACCCTGGGGGGATCTCCCTCCCTAGTTACCCAGCCCGTACGGAACATGGTAGGGACGGTCTGAAAGAAACCAAAATTAGCACCACCTACCACTCTACAATCTCCCTGGAGTGGGGGAGAAAAGAAAATGAAGTCACACCTTTAAAGACGTCTGAGCTCCCGTGTTCATCCCAACAGCACTCTCCACAGCCAAGATGAACAGGTGAAATGGGGTATGTGTGTATGCCTGCACCTACGGAATATCACTCAGCCTTGAAAAGGGGATCCTGCAGTCGTATGACACAACAGTAAGGGAAGTGATCCAAGACACAGAGGGATAAAAAGCCTCTCACAAGTCTCTTATACATGGAACCTAAAAGCAATGAAGCAACACAGATTCGGAGAATAGAATATGGCTTCAAGGGAGGGAGAGGGGTAAGGTCAAAAGGACACAGCACTGACGTTCCATGGGATAAGCAAGTGGTTTTAGAGCCTGTCATAGCATCTACAGTAAGCAAGGCGGTCTTATGGAGGGATAGACACATGGAGCCGTGGAATAGAAAAGAGAAACCAGAGACAGAAACGCATGAATAAATGCATCCAGCTGATTTCTGACCAAGATTTAAAGTGATTCAATGGAGGAAAGAGACTCTTTCCACCAATGGTGGCGGCAATCCACAAGTAAATATGATTTTCTATCCCTCTAACACCTTGCATAAAAATTATCCCAAAGGGCTGCGAAGGTGGCTCAGTGGTAGAGCCCTTGCCTTGCATGCATGAGGCCCTGGGTTCGATTCCTCAGCACCACATAAGCAGAAAAAGTTGGAAGTGGCGCTGTGGCTCAAGTGGTAGAGCAGTAACCTTAAACTAAAGAGCTGAGGGACAGTGCCCAGGCCCAGAGTTCAGACACCATGACCAACAACAACAACAAAAATGATTCCAAAGCTCACATATAAGTATATATGTGTTCAAGTGAAAGAAGAGACTTTCAGAACATAAGTCTTGCTGAAGAGTTCTTAGGAAGTGGAACTGTGGTTCAAGAGGTAGAGCGCTCACCTTGAGCTGAAGAGCTGAGGGACAGCATCCAGGCCCAGAGTTCAAGTCCCACAATCGACAAAAAAAAAAAGAGCTCTTAGATTTGATACCACAAAGCCACAATCATAAAAGAAAGGGAGGAGGGAGATGGGTAAGTCAAAACTTCATCAAAATTTCAAACCTTTCCTCTGCTAATGACCCTGTTAAGAAGCTGACCAGGAGAAAACCTTTGCAAACCACATATCTGATGAAAATAGATTCTCCTAGACAGAAAGAACTCGCCGAACTGCAAAGGAAACCATCTAATTTTAAAAGGGGCACAAGCCAAGGACATTTGGTCACAAATAATATATACATGGCAAACGCGCACGTGGAAAGTCAGCTTCATTAGCCCTCAGGGAAATACAAAGGAAAATGACAATAAATGTCACCACTCTCTCCAGAATGGCTAACGTGAACAATGTCTGCGTGTCTGTGTGTCTGTCTGTGTTCTGCAAAGACACAGAGCCATCGGGACATGGGAATTTCTGCAGGTGCAGAAGAGATTCACGAAGAGGAATCCCTTCATATAGCAATGGAAGCTGGGAAGACGTGAGACCTGAAACTGGAGGCTAGCTTTGAGCAAAAGAGTTCAGAGACAGCACTCAGGCTCTGAGTTAAAGCCCAACCCACTGGCAAAGAAGAAAAACAAAAAGGAATTCAGAAGTTGTAAAGCCATGACCTCTTCAGCAACTGTGAGGATGAGCTGACCACAGGCCCAGCAGATCCCTGTTTGCACCGTCTCTGAGAGGCCCTGGCATCAGGAGACAAGAAATCTGGTTTGCACTGAAGGAGGTAAATGCCCATCAAAGGGCAGGCATACCACTAATCCATGATCCAGGCCATGGGCTGGACACTCGGTGTCTCCTGAAAGAGGAGGAGCCGGAGAAGAAAACATCTAAGAGTAATGTTGTTTCTTATAAAGGTTTTAAGTAGGGGAACTGTAAAGATGAGGTAATTGTGAAAAGCAGGAGAATGACTGACAGAGTTTAGCACAGAGGAGCCCGTGGGGTGGGCAGGTGGGAGACAGTTACAAGGACATGGACCCAGCAGGGCTGGGATGGTGAGATGCCGTCTTTGGCACAGATTGTGTGCACAAGTATCTCGCTGGGGCAGGAATGATGGAGGGATGCTTGAGATGATGACTGGAGGGATGGCAGGAATGATGGGTTCAAGAGGCACAGAAACGGCTGAGACTGAAGGGGAGGAGGGACCAGGGGGCTGGAGGGTTTGCAGATCTGTAAAGCAAGGGAAGGGACAAGCAAGACGAGAAAGGAGGAAGGAGGGGGAGAGAAGAAGGAGGGAGAGAAAGGAGGAGGGACACACAGAATGGAAGGGAGGGAAGAGGAAGGAGGGGTGCCCACGCGTCTTCACCTTCCTGGTCCCCATCTCCGAGTCCCTCGGTGCTGGGTGACCTTAAGTCTGAGTCTCTCTTCCTCATCTGGGACAGAGTCTGGGTGTCCCAGGCTGGCTGCCTCCCTCCCAGGCGGCTTGAGGCTCAGGTGTCCCATGAGAGCGGCCTGGGAGGGAGGACCAAGGGGGAGGGAGAGGGGGGGAGGAGAGGGGGGGCTGAGAGCCGTCAGGGCCCGGGCTGAGCCCTGGAGAAGGCCCTGCCCGCCCGCCCCGCCGTCTCTGCTCTTGCTGGGCAGCCTGGCTGGTCGTGGTTGGAGCACCGGGCGGGGGAGGGAAAGGCTGAGCAGAACAGGTCACTAGCCGCCCGGGTCGGGCGCTGTGCGGTCCGGGAGAGCCGTTCCCAGGGCGGCCGCCCCCCCCCCCGCGTCCCGCCCCCCCCCCCGCGTCCCGCCCCCCCCGCGCCCCGCCCCCCCCGCGCCCCGCCCCCCCCCGCGTCCCGCCCCCCCCCGCGTCCCGCCCCCCCCGCGTCCCGCCCCCCCCGCGTCCCGCCCCCCCGCGTCCCGCCCCCCCCCCGCGTCCCGCCCCCCCCCGCGTCCCGCCCCCCCCGCGCCCCGCCCCCCCCGCGCCCCGCCCCCCCCGCGCCCCGCCCCCCCGCGTCCCGCCCCCCCCCGCGTCCCGCCCCCCCCCGCGTCCCGTCGCCCCCCCGGGTCCCCCGCCCCCCTCGCGTCCCGCCCCCCCCCGCGTCCCGCCCCCCCCCGCGCCCCGCCCCCCCCGCGTCCCGCCCCCCCCCGCGTCCCGCCCCCCCCGCGTCCCGCCCCCCGCGTCCCGCCCCCCCCCGCGTCCCGTCGCCCCCCCGGGTCCCCCGCCCCCCTCGCGTCCCGCCCCCCCCCGCGTCCCGCCCCCCCCCGCGTCCCGCCCCCCCCCGCGTCCCGCCCCCCGCGTCCCGCCCCCCGCGACCTCTCCTCCACGCCTTTCATTCTTCTTTAATTCAGCCGCGATCGCAGCAGAGTCACCGGCCCGGGACCCCAGCTCGGCCCGCCGGCCCCAGAGCTGCCCCGCCGGGCGCCCAGAGCGCAGGATTCGGGGAGGGCGGATGCCTTCTTGCACCAACCAGTTGGTCCTCTCCAGGCCTCAGTTTCCCCATCCAGCCCTGGCCACGGATGATCCCGAGCGGGGGCAGGGGGTGGAAATCCTACCGGGCCTCAGTTTCCCCATCCAGCCCTGGCAGTGGATGATCCCGAGTGCGCGGGGGGGGGGGGGCGGGGAGCGGGGGAGGGAGTCCTGCCGGCCTCAGTTTCCCCACCGGGCCTCCGGGCGGCCGAGGTGAGCGAGCCGGAGGAGTGGGGTCCCGCCGGCCCGCCCCGGGGAGGGGCTGGGGCGGTCACGTGGGGCGCCGAGGCCCCGCCCCCCGCGCGCCCCGCGCCCGCTCCGGGGTCCCCGCCCACTCGCCGTCCGGAGCGGAGCGGAGCGGGAGCCGGAGCCCAGCCGAGCCGGAGCCCGGCGAGGCCGCGCGGGCTGCAGAGGGGCCGCGGGCCCGGGGCGTCTGCTCGGCGGTGCGGCCACCGCGGCGGCGACACCATGGATCTGTCCTTCATGGCCGCGCAGGTAACCGCCGGGGCGATCGTCCGCGCGCGCTCGGCCCACAGCCGCGCCCTTTGTCCCAGCCCCGCCGCCCACCGCGCGCGGCTCCGCGCGGACGCCTGAGAGCCCCGGATAGGGCTGCCCCGGCCCCGGGCAGGACAGCGCGGGGGACCCCGGCAGGGCAGCAGGGGGGACCCCCCGGCAGGACAGCACAGGGGACCCCGGGCAGGACAGCGCGGGGGACCCCGGGCAGGACAGCGCGGGGGACCCCCTCGGCAGGACAGCGCGGGGGACCCCGGGCAGGACAGCGCGGGGGACCCCCCGGCAGGACAGCACAGGGGACCCCCCGGCAGGACAGCACAGGGGACCTCCCCGGCAGGACAGCGCGGGGGGCCCCGACCCCGGGCAGGACAGCGCGGGGGACCCCGACCCCGGGCAGGACAGCGCGGGGGACCCCGGGCAGGACAGCACAGGGGAGCCCGGCCCCCGGCAGGACAGCGCGGGGGACCCCGGCAGGACAGCGCGGGGGACCCTGGCCCCCGGTAGGACAGCACGGGGGACCCCCCGGCAGGACAGCGCGGGGGACCCCCCGGCAGGACAGCACGGGGGACCCCCCGGCAGGACAGCGCGGGGGACCCTGGCCCCCGGCAGGACAGCGCGGGGGACCCCCCGGCAGGACAGCGCGGGGGACCCAGGCCCCCGGCAGGACAGCGCGGGGGAAACCCCTCCCCCATCCAGACCTGCTCCCCTCCTGCCCAGCGCCCACCTGCCATCCTTCCTGGGTGGGTGACGGGCCTTGCGCTCCCCACTCCTGGGGGGAGGAGGGCCTGTCACTTGCCAGGGGTGACCTTAGAGGTGCCCCCCTCTTCTCTCCCTGGCGGTGGGGACCCTGGGTGGCCTGTGTCCGAAGACCCTTGGCGTGACCTGCCAAGAGATGGCTTCGGATCTCTGTGCGTGGCGCTGGGTCTAGGCAGCGCCTGTGCTGGTGTCCTGTGCCAAATGCCACCATGACCCCTCCGTCAGCTCCTCGTGGCTGGACTAGGAATGACTCCTGGTGGGCCCCGGGGAGGCCCAGGGAATCACTGGGGCCATCGTCCCGCAGCATCCCATTTCCTGCTTTAACTCTCAGCCACAACAAAGAACAACGCCCTTTCCTGGAGCTGCATGGCGGCCGGAGCACCCGCACTGCCCACAGTCTGGCTCTGGGCCTCCGCACCTTATCCAGCCGGGGAGGGCCAGTCCCAGCCCAGGGTCCGCCCTTGCCTGGGACAGGAGGCCGCTGCCCCCAGGGCCCCCACCTGCAGCCCTTTTGCAAGGATGAAGTTTAAGGGGACAGCCCTTCTGTCCAAACTTCACCTGGGGTGGAGGTGTGCTTCAAACATGGTAGCCACAGGCAGAATGTGTAGACAGTCCTGTGGAGGGGTCAGAGGCTGAGGCTCTGGGGCCCTGGGAAATCATCTCAGCTCTTCAGCCTTCTGACACGTTTTTCCCTCATTCTCTTCACCCTGAGCAGTGTCTTTGTGCTTCTCTCCTGGTTTTCAGTCTTCTATTCCTAAACCCCAAATATTGTCAGATGGAAAAGGAGTCATTCCTGTCGTAAGGGGTGGCCTTAGCATTGAGGTTGCCAGGATTTATTTGAGTGGGGAGTGTAGAGAAGGGAAGAGAGGGGAAGGGAGGGAGGGGGGAGTTCACTCAGGTCTGTGTCTGCCTTCCTGTCTGGATCTGTGAAGGCTGGGGTTGCCATGGTTACCAGATAAATTGATCCTTGGGAACCCCTGGGGCTGGCTGGAGCATCAGTGGTTGTTATGGTGACTTGACAGCATAAACATAGGGCTTTTCAGCACCAAGAGGCAGGCCCTGCAAAGGGAGCAGGTTCCTTTTCCTCTTTGTTTACAATTCCCATTTCTCTCCATCAGTGCAGCCCGACACTGGACTTTGACTATATGCTCAGTTCTGAATTAGCCACTGGGGACAGACACAGGGAGTCTTACGTGAAAGGAGGGCATACTAGGTTTGTTGAGTACCTACTGTGTGCTTAATACCTACTGTGTGCTGGGGTGTCACATGTGTGGCACTGTTTATGAGAGTAAATTCTTTTTGCATTCAGTCAGACCCTGTTGTTTCATTTTGCAAATCAGGAGGCCAAACCTGAACAAGAGTAAATAATGACGAAGAGAACCAGGTTTCAAATCTAAGTTGCTGGGGGTTTTGCCTGATCACTTCACCCTGCATAGATTGCCCGGTGCCTCGGTCTCCACCTCCACCCAGACTTCTCAGGTGCAGTCCTCATAGGCCGGCCGAGGCGGTGCTCCAGGACTGCACCAAGTTTGGTGCTGTCTTACCTGTTCCCATATGGTAGGAACTGGTTCTATGCCCAAGCCTGACTGAGCACTTAGCACCTGCTCGGGTGTGCACAGTGAGCCTGGTGTGTGCGACAGAGGAAGTCAGTGAACCATCCGGTTCTCCTGTCCATGTTGATGACCTGCCTGGGCCGCACACCGGGTCCGGCAGTAGGACAGGGATGCAGAAGACAGGGTTAATGAGCTGTAGATTTTCCTTCTGGCTGCTAATGGGTATTGGACACATGGTGTGTCAGGCCAAGACCCAGTTTAAGGGAATGGGCCAAAGGCTGGGTAGACACCCTTGCCTGGCACATAGTAGGATGTCGACAAGTATCTGGTAGATGATTGGCAGAGGGCGAGACAAGATGAAGAGACAACAGAGAATGTGACATGTGTGTCACGGTGAGTACCTGCTCCTGTCAGGACTTTGAGATGGGTTCTGTGGGTATATTGTCACTAAATGAAGATTCCCCTTGGCAGGCCTAGGAGTAAGAAGGAGAGGCATAGAGGTAAGGAAGCCCCACAATATATCTGGGGCCCTCCAGAGCGCCAGTGGGTGGGGGACACAGCAAGGGGTAGGGGAGACCAAGGCTAGGTGGTAGAAGGTGCGCAGGGAGTCCAAAATGCCTGCATCTTGGCTAAGGGCGCCATGTCCAAAGATGGCCACTGTCCGTTCCTGCCCTTCCCAGCATGCATGCTGCCCTGGGCCGCCTCAGCAACAGACCAGGCCACTCTGGGACTATCAGGACCAGGTCTTAAGAAGGCAACCTGGGACTGGGTGAGCCAGCACGGAACACACCCATGCCAGGTAAAGGCCTAGCCTTGTGCTGGCAGCACTCATCACAAAGCATGGGATGGAGGAGAGATAGGGGCCAGGCCTACCCAAGTCCCGATGGTGTGGCCTTCCGTGGACCATGGGTGCCTGTGGCCCAGGAGCTCAGCCTTGCTTGTGACTTGCACTGTTGCCATAGTGACCGTCCCAGCCCAGTAATTCCAGGAGGGGGCTGAAGCTGTGAGTACCTGCGGGTCTCAGAACACTCCCAGCCCAGTCCCACCCGACACACCCATCAGGCATCCACCGTGTGGTCAAGACTGGGACCTGGAAGGTAGAGCCATCCACAGGGCCCTCCTACATTCCCTGGTGAAAATGGGTTCTTAGCTGTGTCACTGAAAGTCATATGGCCACCGGAAGTCACCAAACACAGTGTTGATTCTTCATCTTGAAGTATTGGGGCTCAGAATAACAGAACCTCAGCACTTGCTCCAAAATGGATGCTCTCCTTGGGTCCAGACCACACCTGGGATGGGGCTGGGGGAGGAGCTATATTAGGCACTTTACCTCGACCGTCTCATTGTCTACCCTGGGAGGAAATGGAAAGCCCAGAGGCCCATCGATAAGCCAGGACCTGAGAGCTCAGGATGCCGTCCATCCTATCTCACCTCAGAGGTAATTCCAGGAATGGGGGACCAGGGACCCCATGAATTACCACCCCCACCCCCCGCCTCAGGGAGCTATCCATAGAAGCAAACGGTCACTCTTACGTCCATTCTTAAATTCTTGCACTCTGTGCACTCCTGGGTCTGCTGTACCAAATCATCAGGAGCAAAATGTCTTCAAGCAACAAGGATTTATTCTCTCTTAGTCCTGAGTGGCTCACACCAGCGTCAGCCTGGCCTGGCCTCTGTGGGGGATAGCGGAAGGAGGCTGCCCTGGGCCCCGTCCTGGTGTCATGGTCCTGTGTGTGACTCCCTGTGTCCCTTGGTGGACATATCACGTCAGTCTATGCTTCAGTGGCCACACAGTACCCTCTGTGGGTGTGTCCATGTCTGTGCGGTCTTGCTGGCTCAGTGCCCCCTTTATGATCCAGACTAATGGCATCTGTAGAGATGGTTTCCAATGATGGTACCTCCAGCTGTGCTGGGCCTATGCTTCAGTGTGTCTTTTGAAGGGATCTAATTCAGCCTGTAAGAAAGATCTGAAGACCCATGAAAGTTAAAGACGAGGGTCTTTATCTCTTGGGTCTGTGAGCAAGACCTCTGTAGTCCTCAGTTTCACGATTGCTGAAATGGGAACACAACATCCTTCATTTTGGTCACTGGGCAGGTGTTTCCTGTGTACCAGATCCTAAAGCCTGTGTGGAGGCCTTCTGTGTGATACGAAGCAGGATAGGGCAAACACAGGAGCCCAGTGGAGTTGATTTGAGCTAAATTTGAGTCCTGTGTAGCTGCTGTGTGGACTGGAGCGAGGGCAGGGCTGGAGGAGAATGTGTGTCTAAAGGCAGGGTGCATGAAACATTGTCTCCCTGCTGGATGGAGTGCAAGGAGTCCTTTGGTTGGAGTAGAGGAGCTAAGGTGAGGAGTAGGGTATATGGTATATGGTGAGGAGCCGGGAGCCTGGGGCCCACCAGCGAAGCTCACAGAGTAGCCCAGGGTGAATGGGGACCTAGGGGCCCTAGAGAGGGCCTTGGCTTGGGCTGCAGCCTCTCCCTGGTGTCATAGACATACACAGGCCCTGGGCTGTGAGTGCTCTGGGGTTTAGAGAAAGCTGGACTGATGATTTGTATATGCAGTCTGGGCTTTGTTTCAACATTGTCACCTACTTAGAAAACTTTAAAGGAACCGACCCAACCATGATACAACCTGCTTCAGTTACCTGCGGATGAGTGTTTTAGGTACTTTGTA